GCCAGCTAGTTGGGAGTCCGGCATCTTAACCATTATGCCACCTGTTGACCCATAAATCAACTTTTTAGGGACCAGCAGATGGAATAATGGTTATATTGCTGGACTCCCACATAGTTGACCACAGTTTGAATCCTGGACCTGGCAGCTTAAAACTCACACTGTGTGTGTGTGCATGCGTGCACAAAATCCTGAGAGGAAAAGGGATTGTGGCATGACCATCACCCTGGGGAGTGATTTCTCACTTTCTGTCTCTCTTCTCTTGTTTGTTTTTTTTTTTGTTTGTTTGTTTGTTTTTCTAGCAAGCACATGCACCCTATAGCAAAAATCTCTCTAAAAAAATAAAAAAGAAATAAACTTTTTATGTTATAAAGAAAATATAACTTCATATCACAAATAATAAAGGGAGCTATGAGAAATACCACAGTTGGATCTCCGTTGGTTGGCAACATTCCCACCTATGGTAGACAAAATGAGTTCACTCTATTTTAAACATTATTTTTGTAAATGGTTTTTAACACCATTAGCAGCTAACATTTATCAAATGCTTACTATACAGCAGGGATTATGCTAATTGTTCTACATGCTATGTTTTATTTAAGTATCGCTACTAATATATGAGGGAGGTTAGATTGTTGTTTTTATCTTACATGACTGGAAATGGAGGCAAACTCCAAAAGGTTAACCAAGTTACCTGAGGTTATACATATATTTATTAGCCAAGGCAACTCACTTCTAATTCCAAAGCCATTTAGCATTAAATTGCCAATGCAATAGCCTGCCTCAATAGTCCATGTTTAAAAGAGCTTATCACTGGAGCCAGCAGGCAGTGTGGTGATTAAAGTGCTGGCCTGTCACATGGCTGACCATGGTTCAAGTCCTGGACCTGGTGGCTTGAAAATCATACTGGGCATGTGTACCTACATACACAAAATCCCAAGAGGAGAATGGAAGAGATGGATGGTGGTGTAGCCATCCCTGAGAAGTGATTTCTCACTTTCCTTCTCTCTCTGTTTCTCTAGATCTATTTGGCAAGTGCATGCACCCTATGGCAAACAAACAAACAAACAAACAAAAGGGCTCATCACCTTCTCAATATTGAAACTCTAGATGGAAATACTGGTTGGGCCATATGTTACAGTGGAACTGTGCAAAGGAATTCTTAACCTAGGATCTATGGACACCTTGTAAATTTATGAGTGCAAGGATACTGTAAAACTCGGATTTTATGTGCAAAGCTATATGTGTGTGTGTGTGTGTGTGTGTGTGTGTTGTTTATGAGTATGCATTTTTTTTTTTTTGGAAAGAGCTTTCATTAAAGTCTATGACTCAATAAAGTGGTATGAACAGCTTGCTTTTTTCAACCATTTAGTTGTTTGAGTCACTAAGCAAAAATCTGCTGAGTATCAACCATGTTGCAGGCAGGCAGTATGCAAGGGGGATACTCAATAAGGAGTTGCAATAAAGCAGAAGTTCTTTCTGCTGTTCATTTTGCAATTAACCTAGCATAAGGAGGTCCTTCTTGTCTTTCCTTATTTGGGGTGTCAGAATCTAACTTATATTCATTAATTTACTAATTTAAGCCTCGTTAAAAACATTAAAAATGCTAAAATGCCTCTGTAACAGGTTTTCATAAATTACATACATATTTAATTTTTATTGCACTGCTTTAATTTTCACAAAGTAGTCACTGTTGGGAAAAAGTCTTTAAAAAAAGTTTTTAGTGGGACCAGCAGATGGCATAGCAATTACATCACTGGACTCCCACATGACGGACCTTGGTTCAAGTCTCAGACCAGTGGCTTCAAAATCACCCCTGGGTTCATGCATGTGCATGTCCAGGATCTTGGGAGGAGAAGAGATTCTGGCATGCCCATGTCCCTTGGTGGTGGTGGGGGTGATTTCTCACTTTCCTTCTCACTGTCTCTGTCTCTTTCCTTGCTAGCAAGCACACGTGCCCTAAGGCAAAAACCTCTAAAAAAGAAAAATAAAGCTTTTAGAAATAGAATTGAGGTGTGTGTGTGTGTGTGCATGAGTTTTAAGGTTTTACCATAGGGCGCATGTGCTTGCCTGAGAGAAAGAGAGAGAGGAAAAGAGAAACCACCCCTCAGAGGGGACAGCCACACCATAATCCTTTTTCTTTCATTCTCCCCGGATTTTAGGCATGCACACACACGCACTTGACATAGTTTTCAAGCCACCAGGCCCAGAACTTGAACCATGGTCAGCCATATGAGATTACAACACTTTAACCACCATGCCACCCACTGGCCTGGAATTGAATCCTTTTATACCAGATTTGTTTTGCAGGATTCATTTAGTTTCATGTGGTAGACATCTAAGCTTAAATAATAAGAGATGTTTATTTGGTTGCATGGCTGAAATACCCAGGGCAGATTTATCTTAGGACTGTATGAATCTGACATTTAAATAATTGTTAGGGTACCAGCTCTCTCTATCCTCTCTCAAGTGGAATTTAGCTATGTGGTAAAAATGGCCCCCTTCTAACCTTTGGTCTACCAATTTAGAACCCTGATGTAAAAATAATCTTCTTTAATCTCTCATCAGGAAGGTCAAAAGCAATATTTTGGTTACACATGCTCAATACTAGCTAATAACTCCAAAAACTATGGTCAAAAAGATGGAGCACCCAAGGCCAGAATCGTGCCTACCTTTTCTAGCTGGGGCTAGAGAGGAGACTAGTCAGATGACAGGGTCTCCCACAGAATTAAAAGATCCTGTTACCATAACAGAAGTGCCTGATGGACCAAAACCACAGATGCCTATAACACCAAATATGTATTCTCAGGAAACTGCCATCATATGAACAGCCCGTCCTTTATTTGATCACATGTCCCTTACCATGTGCTCGGCATTTGTTTAGGAACTAGATACATATAAACAAAACACACAAGGTTCCTGCCTTTGTGTAGTTTACAATCTGGTTAGAGGAGAAGTTAATAAACACAACAAATAAGTAAATTATATAGTAAGTCAAAGGCAAGACGCATTATGCAAAAATATAAGAAAAAGAAGGAAATAGAGTGTATCTGAGAAGAAAGGGAGTTAAATGTCAGCATGGTCATGAAGCCTTCACTGGGAGAATATTTGAGGTAAGTGAAAGAGGCGACTACCTGGATATCAATGAACTGAGTGATCAAGCAGATCAAAACTGCATGTGCCAAGGCCCTAAGGCAGGAACATGTCTGGCATGTTCAAGGAACAGCAAGGAGGACAGAGGGACTGACATTGAGTGAGCAGCAGTAAAAACAGTAGAAGATGAGGTTGGATTCACATGTTGATAATAAAATTATATTAATCATTATACTAATTGTTCAAATTACAAGGACTTCATTTGCTTGGGCAAATTTTCCTAATCAAAAAGTTGCTTTTACACCATTAAAAGGAGTATGTAAAAATTTGTGAATCATTGTCAAGGGAACCTCAGAATGTGCATTAATTAAAAAGCACTGTTAAGTATTTGCTCTATTGCTCCCTTCTTCACCACTGATTCATTTAACAGTACTTATACTGGATCCATTGTGGGCCAGGTACAGTTCCATGTTCTGAGGGCCAGTAAAATACTCGTGCCTGTGGCCAGCAAAGTGTCACTGTAGACTCTTCACTACTGCCTCTATTTTATAGGCCCATCAGTCCTTGAATGAAACTTTTGGTACAGGACTGTTAATCTGGCCTTGCGGGGACCTTTGCTATGGACTTTGAACGAAATGAAAAACCATGGGAATATTTTAAGCAGAGTTAAACCTTTTTGAACAAGATCACTCTGGATGCTGGGTTGAGAATCACAGAGCAGGAAGCAAGGGCAGAAGCAGGATGACCATTCTAGAGGATTTGGCAATAATCCAGGTGAGAAATGACCTGTGGCAGGACAGTAACAGTGCAGGTGTATAAAGAGATCCAGTTTCACACATATGTTAAAGGTAGAACCGGCAGTTCATACTACACCTTTATATCTTGAAGATATAAGAGAAAGGAAAAGGGTCTCGATCAATTCCAAGATCTTTAAGGATAAAGTTGATCTTACCTAAGGTTGGGAAGATTAATGGAGAAGTCTATAAACTGGAAGGAAAGGGAGATCAGGAAAATTTCTGAATCCTAAACTACATGCAAACCCATTTTCGAATCCCCAACATTATCATTTATATTCTCCTTAAGATAGTTCCTTGGCCTTACCAGCACCTTCTTTAAGCTGCTCTTAATTATAGATCTTGTGAGGAAAGTCAAAGTCCCCCAGTTTGCAGGTTGTTTGAGGAAACATGATTTATACACATGGAAGCTTAATAGTAGCAAATCCAAGTACCCATTGATATCATGATACAAAATATAATGCAATAGTACCAATTCTGCTCTACAGTCTCATAGGATTCAGATAAGGAAGGTCTCGATTTTCCTAATCAACACAAGGTATAGTGGAGAGGGTAACTTTGGATGGCTTCAGAAGGAAGAATGGGATGTGGGTAGATGGAGAGGGTTACCTGTAAATCTCGTCAGTTTTGTGTGTGTCTGTAATTTAACCTGCCTCAATTCATTAACAAGCTGTAGAACAGGGGTTCTAAATTGTGGCTGCTTGTAGAAATCACCCAGGGAGCTTCCTTTAAACGTTATTATCATTTAATTGATGTGATGAGATCTGTGCATCAAGAGCTTTTAAACTTCCCATTGATTCTAGTGACAGCTAGGGTTGAGAACCCCTAATTGGAAAGACAGCTTGGCGAACTACCACCCATAGGCCCAATTCAGCTGCTGCTTGTTTTTGTAAATAAAGTTGTGCAAGAACACAGCCAGGACCATTTGTTTACTTATTGCCCAGGACTGCTTTCACTTGTCATGACACTGTGGCCTTCCGGCCCTTCACAGACAAAGTTTGCTGACCCTCGTGCAGGGGGAAGAGCCAGGGCCCTGCTGTCACACAAACCTGGATCTAAATCCTTACTGGGTGACTTAGGGCAAGACCCTTAACTGTCTGGAAGATGGTTTCTCACCTATAAAATGAAGACAACAGGTGGATTATGAGGCACAAAGAAGACGATCTTCAAAAGAATTTGGAGTAGGATGTGCCTCACAGTCATCAGTGAGGACTCATTTCCATTCTTCTGAATACAGAATGGACCTAATCTCCCAGAACCTTCCCCCTGCAAAAAAAAAAGAAAAAAGAGGAAAAAAATTTAAACTAAACCTTTTTTCATTTTTGTAGCCTTATTATGGCCATTGTAGAGAACATGTCTCCTCATTGCCCTGTAGGTGAAAGTACTTTAAGCAGGACCTTTAGTATTCCAGATTCTTTTTAAAAAAGATCAAGATGGGCCTATTTTATAATATATTTTACTGGATACCAAAGAGTTTTTAAGTGTGTCCTGGTGTATTTAATATGTAATATAATAAAAAGGACTTATGTGTCATGTCAAGGGGTAGAGCATAAATGATTATGACAAGGGAAATGGAAGATCAGATGGCCTAACCTCAGCTGACAGCTGAATCAGCATGATTAACGTTCTTAGCTAAAATAGCCAGCTTTGAAAAGCATCCCTCCAGCCTTGCCAAGGAGCTGAGAACATGAACTGCTTCATAATGAGGAATGACCAAGTTACTTTCCTGAGTGTCTCAGAAGAAAGGAACAATTCTTAAGTTTTCAGGAAGGGTTGGGGAGAAAGCTATTTGACTAAGGGCAGAGGTATGGGAGGCGGATTTGTAGAAGACCTTCAACAAATCCTTCTCTCTCATACACACGCACCCACAGACACACATTGTGTACACTGTTTAAAAAGACAAGCAGCTTAACATTCAACCCTGACGGCTGGCTCTACAAACTACTGCTGCATGCTGTGTTATTAGTGACTTAAGCTGTCATCTTTGTGTGTGTGGTTTGTTGTTCAAAGGGGCTTTTAACTAGAAGTGACAGACTCAGGAGTTATATTATGACTTTTTTTTATTGAGAGAGATTTTTTTACTATAGGGCATGTGCACTTGCTGGAGAGACAGAGAAACAGAAATCCCTGGCGGGGGGGGGGGAGGGGAGTGGCCATGCTTCAATCCCTTCTACTCCAACCCCCTTCTGGATTTTGGTCATGCATGCACATATGCCCAACATGAGTTTTAAGCTGTTGGGTCTGGGACTCAAACTGTGGTTCGCCATGTGGGAATCTAGACCATCACACCATCTACTGGTCCTACATTATGACTTTTTTATACTCTGGCCCCTTTCACCTTCATGGGTCTCCTCTTCATTTAAAATGGTATTTCATGACTACATTACTTTAAAGATGAATATAATACAAGATAGATCATATTTTTTTCTTCTGACTTTAAAAAAATTAAAACATTTTGTGTGCCCCTGAAAGGATGTGGACCTTGAATACTGTATGCATTGCACTGGATGGATAAGTTGGCTGTGAACAAACTTATACTAAGGAACCTAACATAACACTCCAGGAACCAGTAAGAACAGTGTAACGAGGCTGAATAGAGGGCATTTATTCTGCATCCTGAAACTCTGTTCATTAACGTAGATAAGGAGTCCCAATATGTCCATTTGCCAAAGGAGACGTTAACCACATACGATGTTTCCATGCCTGGATGGAGATTCCAATTATCATTGTGACATAGCAATTATCCTACCCCTAAAAATGCCACTCATGTATAGCTATTCAGAAATAGTGTGCAGAAAGAGGAATGAGTTTAAGGCGAGGATGGCAAGAAGGTAGATAGTATGGGATGTCTGACGGTGAGCTCCTGGGACCTGGGCTTCCCTCTCTCCGTGACAGATTGGAGCTAATGACTGAGGAATATAACCCTGAAACTACCCACCCAATTCAAAGACACCTGCTTCTCACACAATGACTCAGCCAAGAAAGGTGGCAATCTTGACACGATGGTGGAGTAACCAAGCAGTGCTGGTTTGTCTTTTCTTGCAGGTGTTTGCTTCCCAGAAATCCCATCTTTGGCATGAATCAAACTTTGATTGCTGAGAGTGAGGAAGATGAGTACAGGAGGCACAAGGTACAGAGCCACTCCCCGTGATATGAAGTCCCTTAAGAGTGCTGTGAGGTCTTCGGTTTCATTAGAAAATGATAAAAGGGCAATTTTCTCGCAGTAGTCTGGAATGACAAGAATCATCCTCAGATTCCTGACAACCCCTAACTAGGGAAGTTAGATTAGAATTACAAGCACAGGGACCAACAGGTAGAGTAAGGGTTACATCATTGGACTCCCACGTAGTTGACTACGGTTCGAGTCCCAGACCCTGTGGCTTAAAACTTACGCCAGACGTGTGTGTGTGTGTGTGTGTGTGTGTGTGTGTGTGTGCGCGCGCGCGCGCGCGCGTGTGTGTGTGTGTGTGTGCGCGCGCGCGCGTGCGCCGAATATCCTAAGAGGAGACTGGAGAAGAAGGGACTGTCATGTGACCATCCTCCCTGGGGGGTGATTTCTCACTTCTGTGCCTCTTTCTCTCTCTCTCTCTCTCTCTCTCTCTCTCTCTCGTGAGTGTACATGCCCTATAGCAAAAGATCTCTGTGAAAAAAAGAATTATAAGCAGTCTTTGTTTGACTGCTGTCCCCAAACTGTTGTAAAAGAAAGGAACCAGAAGTTTCAACTAGAGCTTATCTGAACCATTCTTTGAGCTTCTTGTTTGTGTACACTGCATGTGTGTATGCTCAAGAGTATGCATGCATGTGTACTTTTGACAGGTGTGTTTTACTTAGAGAAAGAGACTTGCAGTTAAAAAAATGGGAAAATAGATTAATTTTAAAAGAAGTAGACTATTAGGACCAGCATATGGTATAGTGGTTATGTCATTGGACTCCCATATGGCCAACTGCAGTTCAAGTCTCAGAGCTGGCAGCTTGAAACTCATACCAGTGTGTGTGCATGCATGCCCAGAATCCCAACAGGAGAATGGAGGAGAAGGGATTACGGCATAGCCACACACACCCCGGGGGGTGGGGGTGGTATTTCTTGCTTTCTGTCTCTCTGGGAAGCACACACACCCTATAACAAAAATCATTAAAAGAAAAAAAAAAAAAAGAACTGTCAAGAAGATCAGATATCATAATTCCTATTTCTTTACCTGACGCAGACATCTAAAAGGAGAGTTAATATGAAGAGATAAATAGCACATTTTCCTTTAAATGATTTATGGAAACATGAGCAGGGAGAGGAAAAAGGGGGGAGGCAATTGTGTCAGACCTAACTAAAGAAGTGGTTCTGCAAATCAATTTACTTCACAGAGTAATTTGTGGAGCTATTGTTGAGGGTATTTGTATTTGAATAAGAGCTTGTCTCTCTCATCACCCTGCTTCTCTCTCCCAGGAGCCAGAGTGAAGGCACAAACTTTTACAGGGGTGATTATAGCTGGTTGCCATGGAAATAACCAGGAGGCACCCAATTCTGCATTATGACTTCACTGTGGATCACAAGCGGGAGGATGAAGAGCGACTTGCTAATTAATGGAGCGCCAGGGGACAGTTTAAAGAGAAAATCGCACACAAGATAAATGCAGGTTTTCCAGGCTCTCAGAAAAAATGATCGTAGTTTCAAGAGAAGACAGCTGTGGAAGAGCATGCTCTCTCCTCTGTGATCTGTCCTGAGCTGAGTTCCTCAGGCCAGTTTGCTCAACTCTTCTGAGGGAGGTGGATATAGAACAAATGACAAAGTTCTCAGTCACATTAAATTCAAGACATGAAATGATGCAACTCAGGACCCAAAAGATGTTGATGGCCTTCCCAGACTATTCTCACTCTGCCTCTGTTCCTGGTTGTTTGGGTTTAGGTTCCTGGAAGTAGACATTTTTGGGGAGATGGTACCACTGCCCTTCTGGGCCTTTCCTCTTGTCACCTTTCACTCTTTGTAGCTTTCCCTTCACAAAACACAAACCCACTGTTGCCTCCTTTTGGCCTCTTTCTCTCTCTTCTTTGCATCCTGGCCCACTTGCAAGGGCAACTATTTCTTAAAAAAAAAAAAAAGCTTATTTATTTATGTATTCAATGTATGTGAGTGTGAGAAGGAGAAAGAGAGTCACCCTCAATAGGATCTTCACACAGTGATCCACCTCTGGCCTCAACCAGCTAGGATCACATACCCAGGAAACACAGGGAGACCTTGGGATGCAAACTGGACCTTCTCATATGGCTTCAGCACCGTGAAGCTCTGTTACTACCAGGCCGCCATGACTGGGCAAGGCCATCTCTTTTTGAAAACTTTTTAAAAAAGTTGCCAGAGGACTTGTGCACACGTCAGAGAGAGACAGGGAAAAAATACCCCTAAATTGGGCATAATCACACCACAACCCCTTCTCCTCCATTTTCAACCTTGCAGGGATTTTGGGTATGCATGTATGCATAAACCCAGCATATTTTTCAAGCTACCAGGGTTAAGATTCGAACCACAGTCGACTATGTAGGACCTGGCTTCCCTTAACCCCTAGGCTACTGGACTAGCCTCAAGGCCATCTCTTGACCAGCTATCAGAAATGCAAGAGCAGCTAAGGTAGCAGAATTCTTTGGAATAAAATTTGAAAACACTGTCATACAACAGTACACAAATAACAGCTGCTTGAAGTGGAATAGGAAAAACATTTTCTCACTGGTCGCTCATTTTAAAACCCTTCACAACAAATGGAAGATTGATTTGGTCATTTAAAGTATATCAGATTTCACTCCACGAATGCTTTCTGAGTGCCATTGACTGAGCTGGATGCTGCAGATTTTACTCAGGTAAACCAGACAGATACCTCCTGCTGATTAGCCTGCGTCAAATGGAGGAAATAAGCCTGCCAGGCCTGGTAAGATGGAATCTAAATAATGCACCAACCTCCTCTTCTATGTCAAGAGGTGAAGTCACCCCAAGATGAAGTTCAGCATTCACAGCGGTGTGCCTCTGTGCTAAACATGCAGGGTTGACTCTGACTCATCAAGCTCAATGGCACTGCTGTGCAGGATGGAAGTTAGGCTATTTCTGCCAGGTCTAGGATGGTGCAGGGTGAGGTAGTGGCTCACTCAATATGGAGCCACAGAGGGAGGCCACTCCAAGCCTAGCCTCTTGGTGATCTAGCCAAGCTTTACTACCACCGGCTTAGTCACAATGGTTAAACACGTGTTGGAGCAAGCTTTATTGCCAATGGCTGAGCAGATGATGTGAGATCTGTGATCCCTTAGCTCAGGCCTGGGCAGGGATATTAATCAGCTGAGGCATGGCCCTCACAGTGGAAAAGTATCTACTAGGCTGCCCAGGACAAGGGTCCCATGGGGATCCCATGTGGGAACAACTAAAGCAACAGTGCTGATGACCAAAGCAGCCACTTTCTCCTGGCACTTAGGACAAATAATCTCTGAATTAAGTAAATCCTCAGTTGTTACCATCTGGAATGGTAGAGAGGTCTTAAAAGTGAGACCAGAGACTTTTTGCTACTATAAACATGTGGGTGCTCCGACAACTAAATGGATAGATATTAGGTTGTCAGGAAAATCATGATGTCATTTTCTATGCAAAAATGTGTCATAACTTTTCCAATGATTCAATAAAAGTATAAAAGCCAAACTCTTTATGCTGGCCTATAGGGTCTTTCACACCTTGTTCTCCCTGACCTTATTTCCTAATAGCTTAGCCCTGCCCACTCAGCACCAAGAAGCTAGTCTCTGCTGTTTCTCAGACATGCTCTCAACTGAGGACTTTTTCATTGAGCTCAAAATGAGCTCAACTCGTTTTGAGCTAAAGCTCAGGAGCACAGGAAAGAGCGCAGTGGAAGAAATAGCCTGTAATTCCCTTTTCCTTAAACACTTATCCCTTGGGAGTATTTTACTTGCCAGGGTTCTGCTCAAATATCACTTTGTTGGTGAGGTCTTTCTTCATACATTATAGCACTTTCCCCTCCCAGCATTCTCTCTCTTCTTGCTCTCCTATAGTTTTATTCATAAAACTAACCACTATTGGGACCAGCAGTTAGCGTAATGGCTATGTTGCTGGACTCCCATGTAGTCGACCGCGGTCCGCGTCCCGGACTCGGTGGCTTAAAACTCATGCCAGGCGCGTGTGCTTGCGTGCCCAAGATCCTGAGAGGACAGAGGGGAAGGGATTGCGGCACGGCCATCCCCCCTGGGCTTGATTTCTCACTTTCTGCCTCTCTGTCTCTCTCTGTTTGGCGAGTGCACGTGGCCTGTAACAAAAACCTCTCAAAAAAAAAAAAAAAAACCTAACCACTATCTCATATCAGGTATTTACCAGTTTATCACCTCTTGCTCTATTTCAATGTAAGTTCCAGAAGGGCAGGGGCTTTTCATTTCCAGCTATTTTACTAGCACCCAGACTTGTGTTTGGTCCCTAATAAGTGCCTAGTAAACATCTGTTGTTAAAGGAGGTGTGAATCTGTTAGTGCCCGAGTTTGGGTAGTGCATTTATATACACAACAAATAAACATAATAAATAATAGACCACGTGAATCAGAGCCAGATAAAATGCTCATAGTCTAGAAGGAGAGATGATTCCAGCTAAGAGAACTCAAGGAACAGTTCATGGAAAAGGGATTATTTGATGGACTGGATTTAGACAGTTGGGGATGAGCGGAAGTTTGAGTGAAGAACAGCACTGGCAGATGCATAGAAGTATTAAGAACAACCCGTTTGAGCTAAAGCTCAGGAGCACAG